ACCTCCAGCCCTTGCTAAAATGAGCTCAGCTCCAGAAGCAGTTGCAGGGACGTAGGGGACTTGATACTCTGGGAGACAGCTATCTGCAGTTCAGAGAGGAAGCTAATGGGCCAGAATTGTGTTCAGCAATTGTGAGAGGTAGTTTAATACTGTCATAGGGTATGTCTACACTGCATTCCTCTTTTGAGAGAGGAATGCAAAGGCAGCCAAGCAAAATTGCAAATGAAGCGTGGATTTTAATTTCTTGCACTTCATTTGCATAATGGCATCCGGGCGCTTTTTCGAAATACCCTATTTCAAAAGAAAAAACTCAGTCTAGACGGGGTATTTTAAGAAAAAACCCTTCTTTCAAAATAACCCTTACTCCTTAAAAATGAAGTTCAAAGGTTATTTCAAAAGAAGGGGTTTTTCTCAAAATAACCCCGTCTAGACTGCGTTTTTTCTTTCAAAATAGGGTATGTCGAAAAAGAGCCCAGATGCCATTACACAAATGAAATGCGGGAAATTCAAATCCGCACTTCATTTGCAATTTCACTAGGCTGCATTTGCATTCCTCTCTCGAAAGAAGAATGCAGTGTAGACATACCCATAGGGGGGCAGTTCAAAGAAGAAAGGGAAGGCAGGAAGGAAGAAAAAACAAAACAGATGAGAAGAGGAAAGTTGCGGAGGGGGAGGGGGAGGAGAGGGAAGGGGCAGAGAAGCCACAGGGGATAGGAGGACAAAGAATGAAAAGAGGGAACCATCAGGTAGCAAGAGGCTTTCAAGAGATAAATTATAAGGGGGCACAATTTTCCAAAGTAGTCTCTGAGTTTGGGAACCCAGTTCTTGGGTGCTGTTTGAGAAACCATGGGCCTGACTTTTCAAAAGGTGCTGAGCACCCATAAATCCAGGTGACATCAATATGAGCTGTGGTGCTCAGTGCCTCTGATAATCAAGTCCAATGGGTCTTAAGCTGAGCACCCAAAAACAGGCACCCAGAATCAGAGGAAACTGATGAAATTTGGTCTAAGTAAGCAACATATAGGTTCTTGATGGAGATTTTGAAAGCTGCCTAAGAAATCTCAATGCCCAACTCCTGTGACAATTAATGGGAATTAGGTCTCCAAATCCATTCATACTATGACATTTTCAATCTGAAAGCACAGTCTGGAAAATGTGAATGATTTTTTTCCCCCTCTCATAGCTGGAGACTCAACGTCAAGTCCCTGCTACACTACAGATTTCCTGTGTGATCTTGAGTAAGTCAGTTGGCCCAGGTCTATCCTAAAGGGGAAAGTTGACTTAAGATATGGAGTTGAAGTATCTTAAATCGCATTTTGACACTGTCCACACAACAGGAGGTTGACAGGAGCACACTTTCCCTTCGACTTCCCTTGGTCCTGGTAAGAGCAGGGCTTCCGGCGCTGACAGGAGTACCCTCTCAGTTTGAATTAGCGTGTCTTCACCACATCTGCTAATGCGACCCCCGGAAGATGGACTGTGGCAGCTTTGATCATCTCTGTAGTGTAGACAAGGCCTTGGTCTCTCTGCCTCAGTTGCCCCTCTGTGAAATGGAAATAATAGCATTGTCCTGCTTCATTGGGCTATAGGGAACATACATCCATTACTGTGGATCCTATAAGAATAGGTGAGAGATGGGGAGCGGGAAGTTACCTAAAATTTACCAGACATGCACATCTGTGCGGCACACCCCTAATCATCTATTTTAGATTTTGCACATCAGACAATTTGGTACACGTGTAAATAGTACACATGCAGGATCCTAGAACTGGAAGGGGACATAAAACACATTGGTTTTGATGCTCTTATTTTCCTTCTTCAAGCTTTCATTTCAATCAGTTGGCAGCCTAAAATATGTTTATGACCAAAGCAATTGTAAGAATTAATAGTATTTTGTAATCTCTTGCATCAGCTAGCTTTTCTTCTCTGGATTACTTAAAGGCTACTTACTTTTTTTTAAGCAGTATTAAAAATTAGTTTGGTGCTGGCAAAAGCTACCACAATCACCACCCTGGAGAGTTATCGCTTTTTATCCACAGGAAACGAGGGCAATAGATTTCAAACTTCTTCATGCTTCTCCAGACCTAGAGCGACTGGAGTTGAGAAAAACGTACTTCAGTCTCTATCTTCATTATTTAGATTATGCAGGGCCAGTTCTCCTTTGTCCTAATGTCTGCCTATGCCACTTTCATAGTGAAGAAACCCCTTCAAACTATTCCCATGGGAGAGGGCTCCCTTTCTGGCACAGCACCCCGCTTCCAACCTGTAGTCAAGGGGAGCAGTCAGTTGTGAGCTGGAAGTTGGAACTGTGAAGGAGGGGATATTACCAGAGCAGTATGTTGGCTATTTTTCCTTTGCCTAAGTCTACAGAAGACCAGGTAGAGCTTAAATGACAGTAACCTGAATGCTGTTCTAATTGAGGCCAAGGTTGAGTTCCCTCACAATATGGGGTGCTCAAAGCCAGTTTTGCTCCCACTCCCCAACTATTCCTGTGTCAAACATAGAAACAGATGGATTAAAAATCAGGGCCTCTGAGACTTTCAAGTTGTCTCAAGGGTGAGATACTTGTCCACTAGCACCTCCATTAGCTCTTTCCACGATAGACTGTTGAAACGCTGCCCAGTACTAGTAATTTTTAATCCCCACTGACCTAGGTCTGATTCAATCCACTAGCCTCAGAGGTGAAAGGCTGTGAAGCCAGTTACAAACTTCAAGAGCCCACCCATCTCTCCCAAAGAATTAAAAAATAATTTCTGAATAGGGAATGACATGAATAAATCATAATGATGATGATTCAAGTAACCATGTGAATGAATAATTCATTCATAGATTTGAAAAATGATTCATTGTAGAAAGCAATTTACTATCAATTTAAATGTTTTTTAAAGAGAGATCTAGTCTTCTGCAAACTTTAAGTGATGCAATGCAATGCATAATTTGCATGAAGAAAACAAAAAGCACACCCCCTACTGCAGCAAACTTGCTGATTTAGCACAGAATATAAGAAGAGGGAAAAGGGACTGTGCAAAGTAAAGATAGTTTAATAGCTGTTTCCAGAGGTGACAGGAAGCGGGTGTGCCCTGATGCACAGCTCTTGCCAGAGCTGGCTGACCTGTGGCAAATGCCAACAGGGAGTTATTTAAAGAGTGGGCAGAGACCCCAGTTGCAATAGGTTGGCACCTGTAAGAAATTTTAAATTACTTTAACCGCTGGCCGTTTCTCACCTCCTTTCTGGTGAGAAAGGCTTCACCTGTGAAAGCCTGGATCTAATACTTAGCAATGATAAAGCACCCTTCAGTTGATCTTATGTTTCTTTGCAAGGAGGGGAAGGAGCATTAGCCTCCTTTTACAGGTGCAGAAACTGAGCCACAGTGAGGTGAAATGACAGTAGGCGCTGGTAATAGATCCTAAAGCCAGAAGGGGCTGGTAGTATTAGATCACCTAATGTGATCTCCTGCAGTACATGGGACACAACATTTCACTCACTTACCCCTACTGAACCCTCCTGATTCCATGTAGACTCTGAAGATTTCAATTCATGAGGCTAGTTTCCTAGGGGTAACACATTTTACTCTTTTATACATCTGCTATACATTTCAGAGGGTTTGTCTGTTTGATCAAGAATGCCTTTTAGATGGTAAGAGGTAGGACCACCAAATTTGCTATACAGCTTCCTCTTATAACTTAACTGAAAGGAAACTCAGGGTTGGTTTATGCCTGGAATGGGATTGCTTCTCATAATACCAAACAGAAACAGGACAGAATTGCCAAGTCAAGTAGAGTCCTTGAAAGAGACATAACTTTAGTGAATGTCAAAAGAGACTGAACCAAGATGAACCAGAACAATAGGCTGAACCTGCAATAGGATTGTGATTGCTTCTCAATAAATCTTATATAAGAGATAAAATGGAGAAATCTGGAGTAGTGCTCTGTTTTGGCATGCACGTGCACAAAATCAATGCTTAAAGTTTGAAGCTAGAAGAAAATGTTGTTGGAAACCAAATTGGCTATAGCCCTTTTTTGTTGCAAACATAGTGAATGATAAGAGTTTTATAGGGATAAAGGAAAACATATACTTGATGGAATTCCCATTTACAAATATAATGGACAAATTTTAAATCATTTTTTACGAAATCCAAAATAAACATTAACTTGATCACTATAACACTATTTTTTGAAATATACAATAATTTCAACAAAGCATCTACATTTTCCTTTTCTTAAAAAACAAACCCTGCTTGAGTTAAGGGTAAATCTGCTAGTGTATGTGTGATAATAAAGTGAGGCTCACAATCAGGGGTATAAAAACAATTTTTAGTAGGGGTGCCCAGAGCTGTAAACCATGTGCATCATGGAAACCACTTCAAGCCAGGAGGTGCAGCTTATGCTCTCGAGGCTGTTTAAAACCAGGCAGCGACATGCTCGAGATCAGAGAGCAAAGAAGGGCGCACAACCCACGCCGCCTTGGTCTCATCCCTCGCTCATCATGCTGCCTTGTCTGCTGTCCCTCGCCCAGGGTAGCAAAGCTGCGCCCTGTAAACCATGTGCATCATGGAAACCACTTCAAGCCAGGAGGTGCAGCTTATGCTCTCGAGGCTGTTTAAAACCAGGCAGCGACATGCTCGAGATCAGAGAGCAAAGAAGGGCGCACAACCCACGCCGCCTTGGTCTCATCCCTCGCTCATCATGCTGCCTTGTCTGCTGTCCCTCGCCCAGGGTAGCAAAGCTGCGCCGCTTCGAGGAGGGGGAGCCGCTCCCTTCCCAGCAGGTCCCTGAGCTGGGAGCATCTTCGCGTGGGGGAGGTGCAGGATCCGCTGGGGTTGGGGGGCTGTGG